TTTTTTGAGGAAAAATATGTTACTAAATTCAAAACCGGGACCTTTCATAGTAATTTCACTTAGGGGGCCTTGTGCGATCGATCACCTGGCACATGCTCAAAACTACCCTGCTGGCAAGTTGTTGACCGTTTGGATGTGGGAAGCATGGTTGCCCTTTTTTTTTTTTTTTTTTTTTTTTTTTTTTTTTTTTTTTTACTTACTTACTTACTTCTCATTTGCATCAATACATTGCTGAATTAGCATAATCAAAGTACTTAAAGTTTGAAGTTCAACTCTTGTTATATATGCTCTTTCTCGTCTTTACCTGTTATTAATCCAATGCTATTTCGCTTGTTATATTTTAGAAGGAAATGTGGAAAATTATCTTGCAAGCTGCTTTATATATTACTTCGTTCGGGTTTATTCTTGTAAAAGAGTTTGATTTACATAATGGAAATTCTGAAAAGCCCATATCATTTCTCTCTATTGTTTTACATCGTTTAATTTCCGCAAAAAGTCTACTACTTTACCTATACTACAATTCACCCCCCTCTTGTAGTTGCTATCTAAAACTTCATACAATTTTTTGAAGGCTTCAAAATATATTTGCTCTACTATAAGGAGCAGAATGAAAAGTGAAATAATCGGAATTTTGAATTTCTGAATTTTCAGCTCCATTGCAGAAGTGGCAGCCAAGATGATGCAGAACCTAACACCACGCCCACCCCCACCCCCCCCCCCCCTCCCTCCCTCCCTCTCCAAGATGAGCAAAAATCGAGACATGAAAGTCCAAACCCAATATCTGTGAATATCCTGAGGTGCTTATTGAGCATTTTCTTAAGATCACATTGAAGAACAGGTTGATCTGAGCACAGAAAAAGTTTCTCCCTTTGCTGCATTCTCCTCTCCAGACATAAATTATTACATTGAGCTTCAGGATGCGTATAATATATGGCCTATATTTGGTAGAAGAGATATTGATCTGTATAAAAATCTGTACTCAGTCAATGCTAGTTCACTTGTTGCAAACAGAAAAACATATTCTTTGTTCTTAAATCGTCAACTAAGGTAAGTTTATTCATTTTTATGCTTATTGTCTTCTACACAATGTACTCGATGGTTAGGTCATTGTGGATATTGCTAAACCATCTGCATCTTCAGAAATACTCATTGTGAGACAGTAATTGCACTGATGCAAAAGGTACTGGAAACTGTCTTTCCTTGGTTGTAACAATAGCATTTGAACTTGATATTTTACTCTGCAATAATATAGGATGTTAATGTGCTGCAAGTGTGTTGTATAACTAGATATACCCCTTCAATGATCTGTAATTCCATGAGTACAGGCAACAACAAAATGTTGGGGGACACCAGCTAAATGCTACTTATAACAATTAAACATTTTGTACTACAGTTACCTTACCACCCTAAATTTGGAGGCCGAGTCACTTTCACCATATTTCTCTTATCTCACATTCTAATATTTGATTCTCTAACAAATCACCCTACTTAGACACTCTATATATTTCAACTAAAACTCCACACGGAAGCAAGTATTCAGCCCAGACTCATACAGGAGGCAGCAGTGGGGAATTTTCTGCAATGAGCGAAGCCTGACAACCTAAATCCATTTCGTAAATTTCAAATATCATAGTGATTTTGTATTTTAATGCAGTAAATGTTCTACAAATACACTTTCTTGGAAATAAATAGTAAAATCCTGCAAATAAAGCAAAAACAGCTCCCATAGAAAGTACACAATGGAAGTGTGCAACCACTTACTAAGTGTCGTGTTTCATTTGGCTAACTGTCTTCTCTGTTTTTTATGTGACTAAAAAGAAGGGGAAGCACTTTTCAATAGTTTTGCTCAGTAAACAATCCAGTGATATGTAATAAATTCTATAGCTTTACTTATCTATACATTTTCAGGATTTGCTTTTCCATATATTTCAAACTAAGTAAGCCCCCAAACACTAATAAAATTGCTAGCCTCCATTTCATACGGCTTTAGAAATTTACAGGCTTCAACTAGAACAGAAACTCACCTTGTTGATAAGAATTATAGGACATCACATTTTATCTACACCACAATATGTTTTGTTTCACATACTCCATATTAAAGATCTCATTTCAAAACCGATTACAGGATAGGAACCACATTTAATCAACTTTTATCCCATTGTATTACACCTAAAAGATTCATCTATGTCGAATTTCTCAAATCTTCCAATCCTGTTAGACAAAGGCAACTTCGAAGAAAATTGGTAGAGCAGAGCGGCTAATATGCCCATTGCAACCACTGCAACCAGGACGTTGCAGTACACACTACCAGCAGATGAAGGCAGGGGGAAGTAGATCATGAGGTGAGATTCCAGATACAGTAAACCTGAAACTTAAATGACAACCCAATGCCACACAACTTTCTACTGTAAATTCGAAGACATTTACAACACATTGCCTTGACAGTGATGTACATAAGCTGAAAATTTCTGCATTTGCTTACACTAGAGTTGGAAAGGGGAAAAAAAAGTCGCATATACAGCATAAGAAAGATCAGTACTTTTCAGAGACTGGTCTTGAAGGAAAGAGTCTCAAGAGAAATGTTAATAACGACCATAGACAGACCAGAGCGACAAAATAGAAGGTCACAGACACTGCTGCTAAAGCTCCGCTTCTCTCTACCACTTCTTGGGTAGCCTCAACCCCACTCATTACAAATCTCAAGCCCTCAACGTAAGTTATAGCTCTAGTTAGTTGATAGAACCTATAAACCTGCCAAGAAAAGTAACAGTCATAACTCATAAGGGAAAAATAGGTAAGATAAGAAAAGATCAGAATTAATTGAAGCAAACAGATACCTCGAAGATAATGGGAACTAAAGGCCAACAGGCTGATCCTCGTTTATCAATAAAAGCCTCAAGTGCATACTGAGCCAGATAACCAACTAGCAAGGGAGTAACTGCAACAACAGCATTCATGCCAATCACTGGCCATGTGGCGTAAGTTACCGCTATAGGAGCAATTACCTTCAGACCCATGGCAAAAAAAGAAGTAGATAGGTGTCCCTTCAGACCGGTTATGAGGCTCCATCGTTTTGCACTAAATTGAAGATATGGCCTTTGGATACGATCAGTTATTAATAGGAAGATTGCAATACCAGAATAGAACACAGCTTCACTAGAAAGGATACCAACAATCTCTGTTTTGTGACATAGTAGATCGCAATTAGTTGTACAACTATGTGAGGACTTAGTACACAAACCATATATGAATAATTGAATACTGCAAGAGAAGAGGTCGACTAAAAAAGAACTCCTTTCGTGAACTAATGACCATTAATTTCTAAATTACTATAATGATTTGTGATGGAAGTCTCTCGTCAAATTTATCTTGACAACTAAAGAGCACTTGAATTGACAAAAAATTAATTTGTTCTAGTAACAAGCAGATGAACTATACTGGATAAACACTGCAATGTTTGAGAACAAAATGTAAGTTAAAATTTTGGGAAAAGGAGAGTAGATAGCTTAGTGAAGAGTCTACAAAATCACCAACTTGCACAAACACGACACAATTGTTTAAGCATATTGTTCGGTAAAGTATGCAAGGGAAAGAGCTATCTCTATAGAGTCAGCTTAAATTTGTCAACAGCCCTGCATGATTATGATGTTCTGGCATAGTGGCATTGCCAGTGCATCAAGTTCTATCAAATTATAACTTTGTGACAATACACAGTAATAAGCAAGAGCCGTAAAATACTTATACAAATCTACAGACTACAATAGTTTGTCCTGCAAACTCTAATTTTAGACATTTATGTGGGTGTCATGCTAGCACTAATCTGCAGACTGCAATTTCAGTCCTGCAAACTCTAAATTTTAGACATTTATGTGGGTGTTGTGCTAGCACTCGTGAATGCATACATATCAATTCCTGCCAATAGTTCCTAGTTAAACTATTATTGACAATTGGACAAAATGAAAACAAGCACTAGACAGTAGACATCAAATATATCAACCTATTTCAAACAAATAGCATGAGGAAGTTACCTGCAAGGCCTCATTCTTGAAAACACCATCAAATGCATTTGATAATATTATTGGAGGGAGTATCAAAGATAGTATCAGAACAAGCGGTTGCAAGAATCCAAATCACAGAAACCACCATCATCCTTATATGGGGATGAAGACAGCTTGCTCTCTTCAATAGCATGGTGAGTTAACCCATAAAACGAAACCGAGCCCGATTTCCCTCCAAACGGTTCAACACTGTCATACTTAGAAGAAAGCTTTGATTTCGCAGGCAAATCAGAATGCACCTCAGGAATATTAGCATTACTCTTTGAGGGAACTTCCAATATCTCATTCGAATCAGAATGTAATGCATAAATCCTAGAGACTTCCTTTACTCTTGGCAACAGAGAATCCTTAACCCCCCATTTCAGATTAGAGATTGCATATGCTGAAGAAATTAAACCATAATTAGACCCCAGAAAACTGAACTAGCAAGAAAATTCAGAACAAATTGGCCAAATTATAATCAAGTGGGCAATAAAATGAATTATGAAAGCAAAAATTAACACAATATTATCACCCCATTTCGAATAAGAGATTGCATGTGCTGAAGAAATTAAAACCACAATTAGACTTCAGAAAATTAAATTAGCAAGAAAAATTCAGAACAATTTTAGCTAACATATGATCAAATGGCAATAAAAAAAAATTAAAGCAAAATGAACACAACATTTGAACATTATAACCCCATTTCGAATTAGAGATTGCAAATGCTGAAGAAATTATTCAAATTAAACCATAATAAGGGCCCAGAAAACTAAATTAAGCAAGAAAGTTCAGAACAATTTTAGCCTATATCAAATCAAATGGGCAATAAAATGAATCATTAGAACAACAATATATTATACTTACATTCAGCAAGATTATTAAGCTGAATCTTCCGGTGCCCTGCATTAATCACAGTCGAAACGAACCTATCAAACCCAGAAAATAATAGAATTAGTAATATAATTTTCCATGAAATTGAAGAATTTTCAACCAAATTTGAAAAAAAAAATTACATTTTTTTACAGAGTGGGATTGAGGAATCGTCGGGGATCCAAAAGAACAACAAATGGATTGCAAACCCATTGATTGAATTTTTTAAAAAATTAATTATTTTTGGGTAGGGTTTTTAGGCAGTTGAAGAAGGGTTTAACATTTCTAGTAAAGTGCTTGTGAGATTGAGATAAAGCAAATAGTGAAAAGATGTTTTCATGTTTATTTCCAGAACTATGTTGGCCTTTTAAAATTTGATGTGGAGCCGGGTCGGGTCAAAATATGGATTAAGCCCAATATTAATATATGTGTTTGAAATTAAATTAATGGGTCGGAGCCAATTCAGGTGGGCTACTTCTTTTGAATCTTGAAATCTAGTAAGTACTCCGTAGTAACGTAGTGATATAATGCATAAAGGATTGATTCTAAGTGCAGCTAATTTAGCTATCAATAATTTGGTAGCAATGAGGCTAAAGGTGGAGAAGACGGGAAGGTCTTCGGAGCTGAGAAATAGGAGCCGTTGAAGATCGATATATAATAATAGTAGACAAGTGTAGACTCCTACTAGCCATGCGTGAGCATGGCGTGTCTTGGTCATGTACACGCAGACATTGATGTTAACGCAAAAAAGGGTAATTAAGCTTATTGCATTCAAATATTATTATAGCCTTATGGTGTGGTTGCTTAGTTGTCACTATTCACCTATATGCATCTTATGTTAAATTTAGTTAGGCTAAAGAATTATCAAAGCAATATTGGGTTTCATGGGTGGGCCAATGACCATTATGTTTCTATCATCTTGGTTCTAAACTTCTAATGGTGGATGCCTCTTGTGGTTAGGTAGGGGCTGGCTGTAGGCACCTCCTTGAGCTCAAATGCTTGAGGTGATAGTGGGAGATTAATGCATGCGTCGATCAGTGTCTAGCCCCCTGATTACATGATAAACTCATGTGTCGATCAATGTAAACTAATGTTTTATATATAGGAGCTTTATACATCATTTTTCCTTTAGATTAAGGAAAATGAAGTAGTCAATTAAAAAGAAAGTTGATTAAACACCTCAAATTAGAACATGCAACGAGTTAGTTTCATATTTTTTGTAAAAAAAGTACACATATATTAAACAAAAGAACATAACATTAACATAAAATATTATTTTAGAAATTAAATTGATGATGAATAAAAGCACACAAACTGATTAGGGGATTTTGCTCCCACCAATCGGAATGCGCCACGTGGGCCAATCAGGTCCTGCCAAGTGTCCCCCAGTTGGAACTGTCAGGGCTTGCCACGTGGCACGCGCTTATTCGTCCACCTTGGACCTATTATGTCATGACACGTGGCATACTCCATGCCTAATGGAGAAAACCGGCCACCCAGGCCCAACTTCCGAGGGAAGCCCAATCAGCCCTAGGTTAACCTAAACCTAGGATTGGCACGTTTCCCAAGGTTATAAATACCTCCCTTAATCCTCATTAAGGGGAGATTACAGAGATAACAGGCTGATCACGCTAACAAAGCAGATTACCTACATTAAACACTCTCACCTAGAGAGACCCAATCACTTTAATTTCCGCATTAATTACTCCTTAATCAAGTACTAACTTGACCGTTGGAGGCGGAGCTCCCACCACCAGGAGTCTCCGTTGTTTTGCAGGTACAGGCGTCCGGTTCCAGTCTCGGAATTGTAACTCTCCCGCAGGACATCAGAAAACCCCGAAACATTTGGTGCCGTCTGTGGGGAGAGTACTTCTGAGATGGCATCCAAGTCTGTACCGACTCCTGAAGAGAAGCGTCCCCTAGACGAGAACATCTCAGTCGGACCACGATACTGAGAGTGAATTTGAAGTTGAAGCTCACACAGGCTTCAGACGGGACCCTAAGGGCCCGACGTACCCGTCATACCGAAAGGAGGGAACGGGAACATCTTCAAACTGGAAGTGAGCCAGCAGGCGCACCGCCTGTTCGGCAGCAGCCGACTGATGGGTCTGCTCCCATCACAAGGAACGAACTCATGACCTTCATGAGGGACTTCAAGGGAGAAATTCAAGAGTTGATCAAACAGAAGCCGCCTGCTCTGGACAAGGAGCAGTCGGCTAAGAAACCTTCCACTACACTGAAGAGGAAGCCAGTTCAAGGGCGAGAGGCGACTCCTCATCCTAAATCTAGGAAGCGGGAGCCGACTGCCCTTGATTTCACAAAATACCGTTTTCCTACTCCAGGAAATAGGAAACCTGTTCGTCATATTCAGGCGGACGGGTCGAGGAAAACATACACAGACGCTCGGCTACGGCTAGAGCAGAAGAAGAGTGACCGATTGTCAGAGTCGGCCTCTACTTCAAATTTCCAAGACAGTCTGCGAAATACCTCAATGAGGCATACGCAGTCGTATCATGAGAGTCAGTCAGGTGGCACCTCCCGTCAGTCCGGCTTTCATAGCGACCAGGCGGTACCAAACTTACCGTTTGTGGCGCAACAACAGTATTTTTTACAGCCACCTCCGTTTGGTGGACATGCAGCAAAAAACGTCCAACCTATGGACTGGCAGCTACGGTTGCTTAGACTTGGTGAACAGCCGTCGGCCTTCTCCAAGGAAATTACTGAAGCCGCTCAGCCGGCCAAAGTGAAAAAATGTATTAGTAGGCGCCTATGACGGCACTACTAACCCAGAAGACCATCTTATGGCCTTCACCAACCTGATGTACCTTCAAGGGTTGGATGATCCCACTTGGTGCAAGTGTTTCCCAGCGACTCTCAAAGGGATCGCACAACAATGGTTCGGCAACCTGCCGACTGGTTGTGTAAATAGCTTCAGGACGCTTGCTTACTTATTCACCTCCAACTTCGCCATGAACATCCCTGCGAAGAAGACGACCCTTGATTTAGGAACAATTCAGCAGGGCGAGAATGAGGGGCTTCGTTCTTACATCAGGCGGTTTAACCTGATGAGAATACAGATTCAAGGGTTACCGGATGAAGTAGCCTATACTGACTTTTTCAGAGGTCTCAAGGACGGGTCGACCTTCAAATTTGATTTGGTCCGAAAGAGGGTGGCGACTCTTCAAGAGGCCTTGATTGAAGCGGAAGCATATATACAGGTGACTGATCTTTGTACGGTAAAACAGTCGGACGGGAAAAGGTCCGACAAAAGAGAAGGACGACAGAAACAGTCGTCAAACAAAGATGAGAGGAGAAAAGAGGTATGGGCGGCTGATTCCTCTAAACAGCCGGCCCAGAAAAAGAAAAAAGAATTCAAACCATACTCCCCAAAGTATGCGTTTAACGAGGATAACTAGTTTATCCTAAAAGAAATCAAGGGACGGATCTCAATTGAGAAGCCGGTCCCCATGAAGGGTTCTGCAAACAACCGGAACCAAGAAAAATTTTGTGCTTATCATGAAGATGTTGGTCATCACACCAATGACTGCATCAGTCTCATGCAGTATCTAGACCGCCTGGCTGAGCAAGGTGATCTTGACACTTATGTCAAGAAATCTACGGGAATACTTCCTCAAAAAAGCAGTCGACCAAAAAGAATCAACAGGCCGACAGCTCCGATACAGATGATGCAGTCGTCTACACCATTGCAGGCGGCTTCTCAGGAGGCGGCCCCACTATTAGGGGCAACAAAGACAACATCAGACGGTTAGATGTAAATTCCGTTCACCAAGAACGGCCGTCCAATTATTCATTTCCTGAGATTATCATCACTGAAGAAGATCTAGGAGGGGTAAGAGGGCCGCATGACGACCCTATCGTTATTGAATGTAAAGTGGCCAATCAGAGAGTTGGCCGAATCCTCATAGATACCGGAAGCTCCTCAGATCTCATTAGTAGCAAATTTCTGTCGAAACTAAAATATCAGACTGATTGCATACATCCGGCATCCCACCCTTTAGTAGGGTTTGGAGGAGGAGTCGTCCACCCACTGGGACGAGTGGATTTACCCATCCGTCTGGGCGAAAAAGGAGAAGGACGACACATGGTAGTCCGGTTCCTCGTAGTAGAAGAACTCTCGGCCTACAACATGATTCTGGGACGACCAACCCTGAATAATTCCAAGGCTGTTATAATCCCATCTCTTATGTTGCTCAAGTTTGAGAGGGATAATGGAACAGTCGGCTCCTAAGGGGAGATCAGAGGATGGCCCGAGAGTGCTATCTCTCGGATGTCAAGCCCACTGTTATGGCCACTGGGTCGACTGGTGGAAAAACAGACCTTGACAAAGTCAAGGAGAGTGCGCCTGTTCAAGAAGCAGGCGGCAAGAAGAGAAAGGCATCCCAGACAGGGGCTGCAAGAAAAGAAAAAAAATAGCAATCATTGGCAGAGGAGAGTTTGGATGAATTCCGCCCTCAGCCGGCTGGTGAGCATACGGACTTGATCTTAGACGACTCACGTCCTGAGCGAACAGTCAAAGTTGGGACGACTGCTCTGAGAGACCTTGGTGACGACTTTCACAAACTATTGAAAGAATACAAGGACATCTTTGCATTCGAAGTCCATGAAATGCCAAGCATTAGTCCTAATCTGGCGGTACATAAACTGGTCGTGGATCCGAAAAAGAAGCCGGTACGGCAGAAGAAGCGAAACCATGGCGAAGAAAAGAAGTCAGGCGGCAGCCGCCGAAGTTAAAAAATTACTTGATGCAGGGTTCATTCGGCAATGTTACTTCCCAGACTGGGTTGCAAATGTGGTGCTTGTTAAAAAGCTGAATGGGACCTGGCGAATGTGTGTAGACTACACAGACTTAAACAAGGCGTGCCCCAAAGACAGATACCCTCTGCCTAAAATTGATAACCTGGTCGACTCAACAGCCGGCCATGCTTTGATGAGCTTTATGGACGCCTACTCTGGTTTCCATCAAATTCCTTTATGGAAGAAAGATCAGGAGAAGACGGCCTTCGTCACTGATCAGGGGTTATACTGTTACACGGTC